GCTCACTCTTCTACCACACTCCAGGGGCCTCCCCACTGCACTGGGCCCATGACCCATCTAGAACCTTCCCACAACCTGTGGATGGGTCATAACCCACCGTTTGGAAAACACTGTTCTAGGTCACTTAGATGATCTTGAAAAATGTACCTGTTGTCTCTTTCTGTTCTCAGCTCTGTACCTTATTTCTTGCTACACCTTATGCTTGGGGCAGCTTCCTGATTATTGCATGTCAAGTTCCCTGCCTCTCCCTTGACAAATGGGAAACCTCACCTGTGCTGTGAAGCATTCTGGCTGTAAAGACCATCCACCACTTTCTATTTTTTTCCCCTTTTGTGTTAGTGTGTTTAGATTGGAAAATCTTTGAGGAAGGGTTCTGATCATTGAGTAGCATCATTCACCTGTTATAAAGCATTGTGGACATGCACACTATTGTGTAAATATGCTCTCCATTAGGCATCTTTTTTGAAAAATATGCATAACTCTTACTAATTCTCAGACATACACATGTATTCGATGGAAAGTATACTTTGCCCAATATGTAACTATATGCAAAATAAAAATCATGCACAGATAAAGAATAGATGTGCAATACTATTGATAAGGCATTTTTCCAATGACCATTGTCAGGACATGTTATCTTTTTGGCAACACACTGTTAATGATTCCATCATATAAGAACAACCTGGCCCTTGGAAGTAGGAGGTAAAATATTTAAAGTAAAAGGGAATACTTTTAATGCAAGGTATCATTAAATAATGTGGAACGCTCTTCCCCACAATGTAACTGAGCCAAATAGCTTAGTAAGATTTTCAAAAAGACTAGACTCGTATGAATGATTATAGTTTCTGCTGTTATGCTATCTGAGTTTAGAAAGAATTGTATTTATTTTTATTTGTAAGTACCATAGAGAGCACCTGTCAAACAACACTACGTATCACTTAAATATCACACCATATAAAGCATATTTCAAATGCAAACATAAAAAGCCAGTACAATCAGCAGAGCCTCAAAGAAATAAATCATCCACATGGAGCAACTGACCAAACAAATCTACCCATCTGCCCTCAGAGCCCTCGTTCCTCTGCCTTCCCACTCTTTAAAAGCTTGAGAAAAGAGGTTTTGCTAGGTGCTCTGAAGCTTAACACATTTGAACTATTATGAACCATGAATAGTGAAGAAAATTAATTCCAAAGTTAAGGAACCCAGCTGGAGAACGCCCTGCTAACAGATCTTTCCCATCTAAACTAAGGAGACCCCAAACTCAGACATATCTATTGATCATAGTTTGGGCAGTATGACAGAGGGAAAGAAAGTTCTCCTAGGTAGGCAGATCCCAGGCCATTAGGGATTTAAAGGTTAAAACTGACAGCTTAAATTACACCTTGAAGCCAATGGGATCTTGATGCTCCAGTGTAATATGTCAAGATGTGGACAGATGTATTCTGCACCAATCAAAGTCTCCAGATGGACTTATTTAACTCTATGTGGAGCTGGATGCTCTAGTCTCTTCTTGTAGTGACAAATGCATGGGTGATGGTAAGGAAGTCTGCATCTGAAGAGAAGGCTAAAGCCTTCTGTCTAGATGCAGATGGAGAAAAAAGCTGTCCTGGCCACAGCTGCTTCCAGTACTTGACCATCTAAATGCATACTTTCAATCTAGGGCTTGATGTGATCTCTGCCATTTCTTGCAGTTGTTTCTCCTAGCTGCCACTATTGTTTTTGCCATGGTGTGAAGTGGTTTCTGTTATATGCAGGGTTTGCAGTTATGTTCAATGGCTTTCAACACCCCTACAAATTGTTCCAGCACCACTGCCCCTCTGAGTCACCTGCAGGGTAATGCAAGCTAACAAGTATGCTTGGAGTTTACATGCAATTTGGTGCATGACTCCCTGCTTATTAACTTAGAATGAGCAAAACAAAACCTGCACTTGAGTGTGGATAAAAATCAATATTTTTTAAAAGCTTAAGGGTGTTTGCTGTAATAAAATAAATATTATATGCTGTTTGTGTTTAATTGAATTCCAGTTACCATCCTAATGCAACTTGACACTAATCATGAGCAAAAAGTAAATTGTCTAGTAAATAAGCAATATATCATTCCCCTTTTTCTAACATACTAAAATATACAATTAATAAGAATCTAAAAATATTAATCTATATAATTGCTCAAATAAATGTATATAATTATAGTGTGCCTTGCCAGGTAGCAAAAAGATGTACCATATCTAGTGTAAAGGCTCTATATAGTTGTAAATCAACATGTTGTAATGGTTCTATCCACCAATGTGAATGCATCTTTTTATAGAAAATAACTGAAGTACAAATGGAAAAGCTGATTAAATTCCACGATTTCAATTGAGGCTTTCTACTGATGATTTAAATCAATCCACCCTGGCTGATAGCAAGGGTTTTCTTACTGGGAACTGTCAGATTTTGCAGTTTAATAAGAATGTCCTAAACAGTAAGTAGCATCTTTAAAAGATCCAGGAATTTGGAAATTCACCACCCTCTGCTGACTTTGTGCTGTCAGGCTCTTTGTGAAGCCAGTAGGAGTGCACCTGCTGAAATTAAGCTGTACATGTGGGAAATTGATGTGATAGGGAACAATGTGAATTTATGATGTACAGTCACATAACTAAAGTCAATGAGCCAAACTATCCTTGACAGAACTCCAAACCCAAAGTTATACTGAACATAAGGTGGAAAAAGGTATTGCTGAATCCATGCCTCCTTGAGGTATTGTGCCAGTCTGACTCACTCCTACTGTTTGCCATGAAATCTGGCTCTCCAGGAGCCATCACCATACTCTATCTAGCTATCTGTCTTAGAATCATAGAAGATTAGGGTTGGAAGAGACCTCAGGAGCAGGGCCGGCTCCAGGCACCAGTTTAAAAAGCAGGTGCTTGGGGCGGCCAAGGGAGAGGGGCGGCACCTGCGGCAATTCGGGGGCAGCAGGTCCCTCACTCCCTCTAGGAGCGAAGGACCTGCCGCCACTGATCACGGCTTTTTTTTTTTTTTTGGCTTAGGGCGGCAGAAATGCTGGAGCTGGCCCTGCTCAGGAGGTCATCTAGTCCAACCCCTGCTCAAAGCAGGACCAACCCCAATCTTCTGCTACTACAATCCAGAGAGCAGCTGTCAAATATGTTAAAACAGGAGCAGTGGCACCCTAATTTTTGTGCTAGCAAGAAGAGTTGCTATTTGCTTATGTAACCCACAGACCTTCCAGGTGTGGTGTTCTGTCCCATCTAGTGGCAAGGAGACCACGGAGAGAGATTAATAAGTCTGCTTTACAGTCTTATCTAACAGGCAGCTGGCTTTTAGTTCATGGGGTAGAGGCTCATGCACTAAGCTCTAGAGGTCTCAGATTCAATCCCGCCCGTCAGCAACCCAGGGTCTGTTAGCGTTACACTAACATGCAGCAGCTTCAAGTAACTGCACCTTCAGAATAAGCTCAACCAACAGAATCAGTCAGATGATATCGTCAGCATAATATGATGAATTCAGATGCGGTGCGTTGTTTCAGCCTGGTCAAAGACAATTTATTATTTTATTTTATTTACGAATGGAAACCCGTCAACTTACGCTTCCGAGAACATCAAATTAAAAACAAATTCTTTAATAATGAAAAATGTCCTCCATGTCTTCATTTTAGTGCAAAGGCTTTGAGGTGTCTGCACTCTCCTGCTGGTAATTCCCGGCTTTATGCACTCAGAAACAGGGGCAGAAGGAGGCACTAGCTCTGGTAAGATGTCTGTTTCCCCCCTCAAAGTCACTAGCAGGGACACATTTAGATCCCCCCTAACTAGTCCCATTTGGTGTACGCAGTGTTGAAGAAGAGCTCTGTGTCCGCATCCTTCTCACCAACAGAAGTTGGTCCAAATAAAAGATATTTCCTCACTAACCTTGTCTCTCCATTCCTATTTGATGAATTTTTAAAGCCTCAAGTTGGAAATTGATTTTAAAAAATTACTACATCCTTTAATAATTAGTGATGACCCATGTAATACTCAGTAATAATAAATAGTGTTTAGGAAGAGCCACGGGATAGAGAGCTAGAACAGGTCTAAGAACTAAGGACAGCACCTTAACGACACAACTCATCTAAAGAATGATGAGGGCTCTGTACTGCCACAGATGCATTTACTCATTTTATTTGCGGTATGTGTTTAAATTGATTGGAATCACTGAAGTGCAAAGGAGAAGAGTTATCCTTTGAGTTTGAAATATAAACCACAGCCCAACCCCACTGTCAGCTATTTATTCCTGTTTGCAAGGCACATCACATGTATTTGTTTTTAATCCTACTATGCAAACCGGCATTGTTGTGACCACCTTCTACTGCAAAGGAGAGATAAATGGTTAAATATAAGTTAGTCTCTCTTCCCACACACGGCGATGTGCAATGATTTGTGTAACGCCCCGAAGTAACAAGCCACGAAGATAAATCTTGTTCCCGGGCACTAACCCAGCCAGGGGTGCGATGCACGTTACCGCCAGCACGCTGAGCCGCCATTCATGCCCAGGGTTATCAGCCCACTCTTTGTGGGGCACATGGACAATTCCAAGTAAAAAAACGGCCACACGAGTATGCTCAGCGGGGTTCTTTGATGTCTCAGCACAGGGCAGCACGAAGAGTGTCTGGTTAAACTGTGGACCGCTGCTGAGCATCAGTGGTACCTGCCGCCCGCTTCCCCAGACCCACCGCCCGAGAGGGAAAAGGATCAAACCCCTCGTTCAATTAAAAATACAAACTAACGATCCCGTGGGGCTGCAGCCCCGAGCCGGGGCAGATGCAGCAGCAAGCGGCGCAGGCGGGAACTAGCTCTGCGGGGGCCGAGCCTGCCAGGTGCGAGCCAGACGGGCAGGGAAGCGGGGCAAAGCGAGCTGCCCCGGGCTGGCGAGCAGGGCCCTTGCTGCGCACAGACACGCGCCAGGCTGTTCTGATTGCCCGGCTGCTGCCTGGGCCGGTCCCGGGAGCCCCCGGGGAAGAGGCGGCGCGTGGGGGCCAGAGGGGAGTCCAGGGGATCGCTCTCTCCGCCCCCTGCGCTCCGGCCAGACACACCCGCCCCCTCTGTCCCTCTCCACCCCGACCGGGGGCACGGAGTTGGCGGGAGCCTATAAAAGCCCCTGGCGGAGCCGGCGCCACCGTCCTGCAGGAGCGGCCAGAGCAGCCCAGGCACAAAGTGCTGAGACCCCGCGCCGAGAGCATGGCCCACCAATCGTGTCAGTGGGGCTATGACAGTGACAACGGTGAGTGAGGGACCCCGCTGCGCCCCGCAGATCCCCTGGGGCTGGAGCCTGCAGCGCTCGCGGCCAGCCCGGTCTCCGCTGTCACAGCATCTGTCCGGCACCGCTTGTCCGGCAGACGCTGTAAGGAGTGAGGCTGGGCTGGGCTGGGTGGGGGCTGGCTCCTGGCTCCTGCAGCTTCTGCTTCCATTGTAATAAATCTGGGCACAACTTTACAGCCAGATCAGCCCACGTTCCCAGTCCGATCTCCACCCTCACCCGGAAAGTGGATACTGGACAGCTCCGGGAGCGCTGCAATCCAGGCGCCCAACCCCAGCTCCCCGGCTGTAAGGGGCAGTGCAGTCCTATGGCTAAGCAACATATTCATCTGTAAAAACAGTTTCTTAAAAGGAGTCACGGCTAATGCTTCAAATGCCTCTGTCTGGAAACCAAAAGGAGGGGAAATATCCGCAGTGAATGGCACAGCTGTGAGGCGATGTATGAATAATGTGTAACATTGATTGTATTTGTATTAAACAGATGTCAACTTTATGCCTAAGTGGAAGAGATTTTCATGACATTCCTCTGCATTTCTTCCTAGGACCTGAGCACTGGCACAAATATTACCCTATTGCCAAAGGAGAGAATCAGTCACCTATTGAAATCAATATCAAAGATGTCCATTATGAACCCTCTCTTCTGCCTTGGTTTGTTGGATATGATCCTGTCGGAGCTAGGGCCATAGTGAACAATGGGAGAACCTGCAAAGTTGTGTTTGATGACACTTTCGATAGATCAGGTTAGTCTGGGTTTTACCTGAAGAAATTTTACAAATGAATGTTTGCAAAGTTCTTGGAAGACAACATGCGCTCTATATGCTAATATGCTATATGCACTGGCCCTATACATACCAACACAGATGGCCACATCGGGGGTGGTCCAATATCTGCATTTTTGTGGATCCAGTGCCCCCAATACTCAACACAGCTGGGACAGGGAGGTTGTGATTGCTATAGCAGCCCCTAGGTATAGTCTCAGGTGAGGATGAGGGGAAAGGGAGGGGCTGCACAGCAGCCTCAGAATGTTGCTCTCTGCTATAGGGTGGATTTTACTTCCCCAGCCACTCTGCACTCCACCTACATGGAGCCCAAATCCTCAAGCTTTCTGTGAGAGGTGTGAAATTCACCGGAAAGGCTTTGAGGTCCACAGCTGGAATGCCTATGTAAATGCAGAATATCATTTTTGAAAAGTGTGATCATACTATTTTGACAAAGAAAAATAGCTAATGATAGACCCCAAATCCTGCTGTCTTTGCTCTGGCAAGAGTCCCATTGACGTCAGTGAGTTTTTTGGCCTGAGTAAGGACTGCAAGATTAGGCCTGTAGTATTTCTGCTAAATGAGTCCTCAAGTACAAAAGGAAAGGACTGAGAAACTTCAGTTTAAAATGAACTCCTTAAAGCAAACATTAACACTCTAAAAGTATCATAATTTTTATAAACCTGTTTAGCCACAAATTCTTTACAACCACATGCAAAGTGCTGCACATATCATATGTGGCTCTTCAGGCTTAGAGCAGCCATACATATTTAAGAGACATGCCAATATCTTTTAACAAGTGCCAGCAGCATTTAGCATCTCTGAACAAATGGAATTTCATACTGATACCGTTGGCTATACTTCATAGAAAAGTTGCTGTCAATAAGCTATGAAGTTGCTTCACTATTGAGTTAAAAAGGAAATCAAGTGAATAGTATTGCAGCTCTAATTCTTACAGCTCTAGAAATCAAAGCTTGCTTTCATCTTTGCAGAGCATTTTAGTGAATATTTCTGTATGCAGACTAGCAACAAGAGCCATCATTTCTGTTCACAAAGTACCTTGCCAGGTGAACACATCTCAGAAGCTTTATAATAATAATATATGGAGATATACCTATCTCCTAGAACTGGAAGGGACCTCGGTCATTGAGTCCAGCTCCTTGCTTTCACTAGCAGGACCAAGTACTGATTTTTGTCGTAGATCTCTAAGCGGCCCCCTCAAGGATTGGGCTCACAATCCAGGGTTTAGCAGACCAATGCTCAAACCACTGAACTATCCCTCCCCCTCTAGAAATTGTTGTCAAAAGAGTTTGTTGTCAGAAAAGGCTGTTTTGTTGAAAGAAACCAATTTTTTTTCATGAAATAGTATCTGACATATCATGAAATAATGTAAAAATAATATTAAAATGAAAAACTTCATAAATTAAAATTTGAAACAAAGCTACACAGTTCCAACACAAAATTTTGATGTTCTGAAATGACAAATTTTCAAAACTGATTTTTTTCTAAGACTACGTCCACACTACAAGCTAAGGATGTGATTCCCCAGCTTGTGTACACATACTTACACTTATGTGTACACATATTCACACTAGCTCTCATCGAGCTAGCACAAGTATAAATACCGGTGTCGCTGCGGTACCATGGGTAGCCGCAGAGTCAAGGCTTAGCCATGCCAAGTAAGTGCCCAGTGGTTTCAGGTGGGTTTGTATTTGTCATGGGTAGGCCATGCCGCTGCTGCTGCTATCCATGCTACCGTGGCTTCATTGCCATTTATACTCATGCTTGCTCAATGAGAGTTAGAGTTAGCACAAGCATGTGTATGCGAGGAGGGGAATCACACCCCTAACTTGTAAAGATGTAGCCTTGATAACCATTTCATTCAATTTGGAAAGAAAACAACATTTCAAAAGGAAAACAAATTTTAAAATGTTGACATTTCCCGCAAATCTGATTTTTGGCCAGCTCCAATTTGGACCCTATGCAGCAGTCCTTATGCCTGAGTGTAAGGTCTGCAGGATTGTGCCATTTATTTGTAATATGTGAAATAACCAAGCTAAAAAAAGGGAAAACAAATGATTGTCCATTTATATTGTAGAGTGAAAGACCCGCTCTTTTGGCACAAAATATGAAGTTATTTTTAAACTGCATTGTAAGCTTCAACTACTATTGCTGTGTTGCTAGTAGTGACAATAATAATTAGTATGAGAGAATTTGCTAAAAGACTCAATGCTCTTAAATATTTAAGTGTGTATACATCTTAACTTTTTTTTTATTACTTTGATGGGTTCATGAAAACAAATCTATAGTCAAAATGAATATAAAATGAATTATCCAATAAAATAAAAAACAGAAGCACACAACAGACTGGGAATAGTTATGGGATTTTGATTAGTTCTCTAGCAAAGACAAAAACAAATCTCCTTCATGGCAATCACTTAGCATTTCTTCCTAATGTGTTATTTTTTCCTTTATTAGATTCATTTTAGTGGCATTTGCTTTGGAATTCTATCATTGATGAGCTACATCGGGGTCGGCAACCTTTGGCACACAGCTCGCCAGGGTAAGTACCCTGGTGGGCTGGGACAGTTTGTTTACCTGCCACTTCCGCAGGTTCGGCCGATCATGGCTCCCACTGGCCGCAGTTCGCCGCTGCAGGCCAATGGGGGCTGTGGGAAGCGGCACGGGCCGAGGGATGTGCTGGCCGCCGCTTCCCACAGCCCCCATTGGCCTGGGCTGGCGAACTGCAGCCAGTGCCATCGGCCGAACCTGCGGACGTGGCAGGTAAACAAACCGGCCCGGCCTGCCAGGGTGCTTACCCTGGCGAGCCACATGCCGACCCCTGAGCTACACTATTAAGGAAATGTAGCTGCACTATACTAAAGACCTCCATAATCACTGCTGATTATGCTCACCAGGACTGTCTCATTGTTTCCTTGTGGTCCCATCTGTTTCTTGCATCCACCTGTTGTCTCTCATCGCATATTTAGATTGTAAACTCTTCAGGGCGGCTCAATATAGAGTCTAATGTAATGGGGCCCTGATCATGACTACAGCCCCTAGGGCAGGGATTGGCAACCTTTGGCACGCGGGCCGGGACAGTTTGTTTACCTGCGGCGTCCGCAGGTTCGGCCGATCGCAGCTCCCACTGGCCGCGGTTCGCCACTCCACGCCAATGGGGGCTGTGAGAAGCGGCGGCCAGCACATCCCTCGGCCCACGTCGCTTCCCGCAGCCCCCATTGGTCTGGAACGGTGAACCGCGTCCAGTGGGATTTGCGATCGGCCGAACCTGTGAATGCTGCAGGTAAACAAACCGGCCAGCGGATTTCCCTGACGGGCCACGGGCCACAGGTTGCCGATCCCTGCCCTAGGGACTACTGTCAAGCAAATAAATAATAATCATAAATAATCTTAGGTAAATTATGAAATGCTTATACATAAATAATATATGACATTGATTCCACACTGCTGTCCCAAAGTGCAGAAAAGTTTGCACTTGTCTAAATTTATTTCAGTCTAGGTGCTCTCACAAAGTGTTTGATTCTGAGAGAAAAAGTGACCAAGAGTGGTGGGTTTTTTTAGAAATCTATCTGCAAAATCTATGTCTGTTTGCTTCAACTATCATGTGTCCCGGAAGTGTTAAACTGTAAACCAGAGTCCCCAAAATGTGGAGCTCTGCAAATGGGAGTACCTAAGGTATTGGGTGTGTTAGAGGGAGTTAGGACTGGTCCTGGGGGTCTAGGGCAGCTGGATCATGAGGTCCCACTTCTGTGAAGGGGGCAACAGACTGAGCAACTGTACTCAGAAAATATGCTAGGGAGGCTGGAGCCGGAGTCAGTGTCTGAGGCCTGCTGAGGCCCAGGGAAGTTTAAAGGCACATAAATCCACTGTTGGGATCCAACCACAGCACCTTGCTGAGTGTCCAGCATGGGGAGCTTGACCAGGGTAGGCTCCTTCTTCTAGCTCTGTCACTCCA